CTGGAGTTTTAATAGGGAACTGAGCCAGGCAGTGGCTGAACTTCCATCAGATATGAACTCGATATCCATGAGATATTGCAATAGTATTAATATTACAGTGCATTTTAAATCGAATGTAGGGGTTTTTTTCTCTTTAAGAAATAGTAATTTGATAGTTCCCAATAGTTTATGTATGATTAATTTTTATTTATTGTGTACTTACTGTAACTCTGGAAATTAAATTACATTCATAATTTTCCTTTGTTGATTTTGAAAGATAAAATTAGTTGAGGAATGAATACATGAGCAAGTATGGTATTTAAATTTTTTGTAACTCTATCAATTCTAATATGTATTTCTCCCCAAATAAAGCAATTATTGTGAAACATTGCAACCATTACTATAATTAAATCTTCTCCTTCAATGGTACTTATTATGAAAAACAGGGTACAGATTCAGAAAACCGAGTCACATTTTACAAGTTAGCATTTAATTTATTTTATTACAAACTGAATCTTACTTAACACATACTTGGAATTTCTTACTTATAAACTAAAACTGAATTTTACTTTACAATTTATTAACTATGATACATGATGAGGAAGATGGATTGACAAAGATTCAAATCCTTCAATTAAACACATTTTATTTTGAAACATCACTGTGTACAAGTGCAGAAAAATGGCACATTCAGTGAACAGCTATCATGTGGCTGACTGACAAACTGACCGAGATTAACTCCACTCAGGGAAATCGAACATGCTACACCCTCTATTGCAAGAAGTTTGTTTGTTTATTGGGTGGTGCCATTGATTGACATTTTGGTGAACAATTTGATTTTTAGAATGCCCATTACATAAGTATTTCCCTGGTTAGATTTCCCTGGTTAGATAACTTAGTAAAGTGGAGATAATGAGTTGATTACTATGAAAAATAACTATAAAATTTTTTTTACATAAGAGTTGGTCGGTCACTGAATATGCTTAGCAAAACAAATTTTGATTGCACACATGAAAATGTAATATGAAAAGAGTATGCATTATGCATTTGATCATTTCACTGGACTAAATAAGAAGGAAAGGAAATGTTATGACAATTTATTATGAAAGTAACACAGCCCATTTTCACTACTAAATCTACTCATGATACAAAAATCTGCATTATACAGTCAAAAGTCGTTAATCCGGACTCTTCGGGACTTCGGCGATTCCGGATTATCGATTTTTCCGGATTATAGATCATCAGTTTAAATCGCTTAAGATGGCATGCAGAAATTCTAAAATTAAAAATATGAAACCATAATTTATGAAATAAAGAACAATTATGATCTAAAGGGTATCAACATTTACAAAAAAAAAAAAAAGCTTAATATTTATTTGTTTACTTATTAAACATTTCTTTCAATGTAAGTTGTTTAAGTTGCTTCGTTTTATGTGATAATACTTTCTCTTTAATTCTATAAACAGACATAATTTTTTGTTCAGTTACAAAGTTCCGCTGTTCCAAGTCCTGTTAATTGCCGTGCCGAGAATACCGACTAACTTGTCAATCGAAATTTTTTCATTTTCACTAACCTCTCTGTCACATTCTTCATGTCTTTATCCATTTTTTGCAACAATTCCACTTTTTGTTTGATGGACATTGAAACATACTTTCGTTTTGTACGATCCTTTGGGAGCTCCAGATTCGGAAATTCTATTTGACGTGATCGAAAGTTCAAGTTTACTTTTATAGTATTGCTCTTACAGTCTGCAAAAAATAATAAGCCGGATCCAATTCGAAAATTAAGGAACAACGCAATCATCAACATTAACTGAAATAGATAATTAGATAATTTTAGCTTATACCGTTCCTTATACATAAAACGCGCACGCGAAAACGTATTCTGCGCTTGCGCACACGCAAATGCGCAGTCGTAAGAGGTCTTACGCGCACGCGTAAACACCTATGCGCATGTGTCAACGCGGCGCATGCGCAGAAAGTTTTCAGCTTTGAAGTCCGGATTATAGATCATTCCGGATTATGGGTGTACGAATTAACGACTTTTGATTGTATGATCTTTGTGATCACGCTGTTATTGAACTTTGCCACTTGAACTGATCTTGTGGTTTTATTCTGTCCTCTTTTTGGATTATCCACTATTTTAGCTGTAGACTCCTAGGCAGGAATTGTTGGCAGTATCATTAATTATGAAAGCTGCCTTCATTCTGTCCAAGAAATCACAACCTGCCCGTACTTTTGTATCAGTTTTCGTGGTTTTGTGTCATATTTCATGACAGGATTTCCATGTGGATCAGTATATAGCTGAGATAAGGGTGGAATGATTTTGTCTACATGAAGAGAAACATGTGCAGGTTTTTCATTCAGAATGCAAAAATATCTTTTCCTTAGCATATGCTGTATGATAAGGTTTTATGCAATTCATCCTTTCTTGTAACTGTCGAACAAAGTTAGAAGCCGAAACAGGTTGTTGCGTAGCATGTGCACACAAATCAGCTGGTAGTCGCAGAGATAATCTATACACACTTGAAGCCTTAAGGTCTGTTTTGATGGCAGCTCTGAGACACAGAAGAATTATTTGCAAAACTTTCTGTCCTTATGATTTTCATGAGCTTTTATTGATCTTTTTAACACTTGATGGAATTGTTCTACCAGACCATTTGCTTGTGGATGAAAAGCACTGGTTCTGATTCTCGTGGTTCCTATCAACTGGGTCAGCTGTCTAAAAAGGGAAGCCTCAAACTGTCATCCCTGATCTGTGGTTATAGTGGCGGCAGGACATCCAGAGTGAAATGTCCAACACTAAGCAGTGCACAAAAGATTGTTTCTGAATAAGTATTAGAAATTGGTATCAGGCTATCTTGTATACCTGTCGAAGATCGTGAGATAGTGTGTTTTCTCTTCCTATGGATGTAAAGGGTCAATGATATCAATGTGCAGGTGAGAGAACCTAGTGTCAGTTACTGTAAAGGTACCTAAAGATGTTTCTGTGTACTTGTGAATTTGACAGGCATTGCAACTTTTCATCCATTCTTTGTTGTTTTGCTTTGATCCATTCTTTGTTGTTTTGTTGATGTGTGGGCACACATACCTGGAATGGATAAACCGATATGTACCTGGTACATCAGGATGTGAGAGACCATGTGAGTTGTTGTACTGGCACTGGTTGTAATGCTTTCCTGGATCATCTCGTTGAGTGTCACTAAATGCCTTGAAGTGTAGAGCTGTCAAATTAGAAATAAGGCTGATTTCTATTCTGGAAATCTATATATGTACTATTGTGTTGTTTACTCCACTTATGCGGCAAATATCAGTGCAGAATTGTTCCCATTGATGTGGGCTGCATTTTTCCAGTTTTTGCTAAAATGCACAAACCAGTGTTTTTTTTTTTTTTTTTTTCTGTTTTGTTATTGGTGGTGTAAATGATCAAATTCCAACCTTCAACCACGTTCAAAATCACTTCACTGCAGTATATATTGCTAACAGTTCTCAATTATATGTGGAGTAGAGCTTCATCCTTCTGGAGATGACTGCTTTTAATAGACCAAATCCAACTGGACCTCGTGTCCATATTATGTGGTGACTCTGTATAACTTCAGACAGACCACATATGCTTGTCCTGGCGTCTGCCTTATCAACTGTCGATGGTGGGTTATATGCCTACAAAAGTCGCAGCGGATGATGGGCAATCAGGGCTCATTTCTGGAGAGGGAGAATGAGAAATATCTACCACATCCAAAGGAGGCAGCAAGTGTGCAAATTATCTATTCTTAGAAAGGGAGGTAGTGATGAAAAATAACAATATGGGACTCTTTTGAGACCCCTTAACTGGAATGAGTGTACGCTAAATCCTTTAACGAGGATCAACAGGAGAGCCATTCTGATGCCAGCAGCCATATTAATTTTAATATATAAAAATTTGCTTTTTATGTGATGTCATATAATTATACTTTAGTTTTAAAAGTTTATAGCTTATTGTAAAGTAATGTATATAAAAGTATGTAAATATAGATTTTTAAATTATTGAAAAATTACAGTTTGATGGAATTAATGGAGAGAAATCTTTTTAATCCCTCACTTTTAGAGAATTAGAATTTTAGTCTTAGCTTTTGTATTTTTTAATGCTTTAGAAAATTTGGCTGTTTGTTTTGATATTTCTGTCATTTGCAGCAAAAATGTTTTTTAACGAGGCTGCTTGACACATAACCCAAATATTTTCTCTAAAACTCAGTACTTTAAAACTTACTGAAGCACTTGATGATGGAGAAGTGCTCTTTGTTTGTGAATTGATTAACAAAACCAGTTCACGGTACTGAGCCAGCAAACAATGATTTATTTAAAAGAGCAGTAGCTCTTTTAGAATTAGCCTATCGAGACCTTTTATTAGAAGCATGCCAGGATGTTTCGATTCTCATTTTAGGGAAAAAAGTAATAATTATCCTATTATGTTAAAAGTGAGTTTAATTTTTATCATTTCCCAACATTCTGAGTAATTTTTATTATGGAATTTTATTGTTGGTTCTATGTAGAAAGGAGGTTTTATAGAATCTCCAAACTGCAGCTGAAAGAAATCAGTCTATGTAGTTAATGGTTTGATTGAGTTGATTCTCCCCATCCTACTGCTCATTTGATTCTCTCCACTTTTTACTCCATCCTTCCAGAATGTTCTTTGATTCACTCCCTGTTCTTTGATTCACTCACTCAGCAAGGTTATTACATTAGTGAGAGGTGAGTCATAAAAAAGAGGATTGATCCAGTCCATTGAGTGAATAGCTCTGATCTGATCCCATAAAAGAGCAGTTTTGTGCTCACCTTTTATGCCTAAGAAAATCAACACGAATTACAGTCAAATAATTGGAGATCTGTGTAATGAACTTCAAAGTGAAAAAGTAAACTGAAGATTTCATTTTAGTAACATTTTATAGATTATTTGTTATGTACTAAAATTTATCGGTAGGAATATTTTCTGTTTAGTGATTTTAAATATTTTTTTATTATGTTAAATTTCTGATTTATTGCAGGTCAGCAATGCACACGAAAAAAATGAAGCGTAAAGAAACTATATTTCCACAAGCAAAGTTAATTAATTTTCTGCAATCAAAAGGCAGAGAATATGAAAAAGAGGTAAACATTTGCAAATACCTTTCTAGTTTTAAATTGCAACAGTTATCTCATTGAACGAAACAAACAATTAATGTAATTTATATTTAAGATATGCAGTTGTGTATATTTCATTTTCTGGAGGGGATTATATTAGAAACTTTATTAACATTAAGTATTTTTATACAATATTTTTGTGTTCATTTATACTGTGTTTGTGGGAATTGTGGCATGAAATACATCACAAGTGTTAAATTTCTTAAATTATTATTTTTAACATTTAATTAGTTATTTGCCAAACTTCATTACAATCAGTCCTCTCTCATATGGTCTTTTGTGTTTTCATTTAATTACAAGAAAATATAGCTTGTAAAGGAAAGATATTTTGTATGTTTTTTGGCATGCTGCTATTTGATGACACCCACATCCAGTTCGCACGCACCCTTTCGCAAAAGAATCCATTTGTGTTACATCTTTATAAATCTAATTTGAATTATTTCCAAACTTTGAATTCTAATATTTTTTTTAATTTGTTTTTACATTAGAAAATATAAAATGAATTAGAAATCTCTAGAAATGTATTTAAAAGATCCAGTTTCATTCATTAGCTGAGAATGACTGTTTGACTTCTCAGTCTTTCTCAGAAATCTGTGCAAGTGTTAATGCAAATCTTAAACTTGTACGTGGATTACATTTTGATGTCTTCGGTATCTTTGTTAATTTTATAGCTATTTTTCTGCTATACTTAAATTTTGCATTTTATGTCAGATTTGTGAATTTTACTTGGAAAGAGCTTTACATCTTTAATTTTTTTTTATTACTGGGGAAAAAATTTTCATTTTTTTTAATATTGAAAGAATGATAAATTTGAAGAATAAAAATTTATAAATCTATATCGTATTTTAATAAACTAAATAAATTTAAATTTCAAAACAAGACAAATACTGTTTAGAGAATGCCATCAGACAAGTACTTTAAATTCTAAAATTTTCACTTTCTGAATCTTGCATCATTTATCATTATCTCCAGTCACATATTTCTCGACTGTTTGACTAAAAAGATTGCATGTTAGCAAATCCTGGAAAATACAGGGGTGTCGACAAATTACTTGCACAGAAAAAAAGCAGATGTTGCAGACCTCTAAATCAAGTACATGTGGTTTTACAGAGAGAAAGTAAGTGTTAGTTTCATGGCTATAGGAAATTATTTATCCAAGTTTTGTACCCCTTCTCATTTTTTACCTGAGGCAAATGCTCTCACTTCTTGAGGTAATTTGATAAAGTCATTTGTAAATATATTTTGTAAGCAAACTTTTCAGTGATTCCTGAAGTTGTGGTCTCCATATTTCTGATTCAGTGTCCATTGTTTACTGAAGCTCCCTTCCCCAAACTTTTGAAAATTCTGCAAACGTGAATACAAGGTTGTTATTGTGATTTTGATTGTCACATTGGCGTGTTTCTCTTCTATTCTACTTTATAAAGTGTCAAACATTATTCAAATTAGAATAAATCAAGAGCATTATTTGTGAAGTCACCTAAATGATATACACAAAAATTACAAAATGATGCTTAAATGCAAAATAGCTTATTATTATAAATAATTGTTAAAATATTATTATAAAATTATAAAAATATAAAAATTTGTAGCTTATGGAACTAAAAAATGATAAACTGTAATTTTTACTTTTAATTCTTAAAATTTAAAAATTAAATTAATAATTTGAAAATTTAAAAAATATTTTTCATTATTATTTTTTACTGTCGTTAAATGAAATTAAAACTTGTAATTGAATACGAATTAAGGGGGGTGAAATAAATATAGCATTAAACTGTTTTGTAAAATTTTTACTTAGTTACTACTTATTTTTTATTTAGCAAAACTGTTTACTAAATTTTACTTTTGAAAATGCTTGAAAACTAGCATTACCGTAAAACTGATTACATTCCTACAAAATCAATATTTTTTATATATATTTCATATCAATATGACAATGCTATAGAAATTATGCATTACTTTGAATGCTGAAAAAAAGCTTAATATCGGATGTTTTATTACTTACAGATATGCTGTATCAGTTTGTGAGTTTTTATATATGTATTTTTAGCAATTTGCTGAAGACTCCACATGAAGCACAAAATTCCTTGCTGATATTAGGAAGCTACATGTATAAAAGTATGAAGTGTTATGCTTGCTTAGATTCTGTGCATTTTGGCTGACCTGCTGCAAAATCTAGAAGTAAGTAATATATAAATAGTTTAAAATGATACCTAAATTATTGATAGCAGTATAACAGAGCTGCCAATTCTCTCGCTTTTACTAGGAGACTCCCAGTTTTTCGATACATCTCTTGGTCTTTTGTTAGATCACCAAATCTGTCGGTTTTTAATTTTGAACCAACACTAATGAAAGTGTTTTGCAGCAAATAAAATTTGCGAAGTTCAAGTTTTATTATTGAATTAATGAAGTTTAGACTGTGCAAATTTAATTCCCCCATCTCTAGTTATTTTCAAGATAACTTTTTGTACTAAATTTTGATTGATCTCAATTGTCTTAATCTATTGTTAGGCATTTATAGAATTTTATGTGAAGATTCAAGCAATGTTTAATCAGTAAATATTTTTGTATAATTTTGTTTTAATATATATATATGGAGTCATTAGGTACATTTTGGAACAAGGAACACAAAAAATGTGCAATACTTTTATGGGGATTTGAATGGTAGACTTTCCAAATTCTGGCCATATATGTTTCCAGTTACACCAGGAAAGCACCGGGGGGTTTGAACCTAGTTGCCAGATCCTTGTTGTGAAGAACTATTATTCATGTTTTAATTTGTATCACCGTAAAGCAATTTTTTAATTTTTAGTGGCAGGAAATATAAAAAATATACATTGCCTTCATCAAGCTTTGAAGTTTGGATGTTCCAATTACTAGTCAGATAGGCCTCTAATTACACTATGAACAATAAGGAAGGTATCTTACAAATATATGGCACTTTAACTATGCTTATCCACAGAACAGTATGTACATTAATTTTATTTTTACCATATTTAAAAGCACTTTGATAAATTAAAGCTTTTCTCACTTATTCAGAATTTTCTCAACATGAAAATGTAAGATAATTGCAAAATGAAATTAGCAAAAGAATATAAAATTTAGAATATGTATTTAAATATTAATATATTTTATGTCAAAATCATTGTAAATAGTTGAATAAACAGAATCATGTTATAAGGGGAATTAGAATCATTTTTTAGTTCTTTTAAAATGGTGCCACTGTACAGCATGAAAACCTTCCAGAAATTCCCAGTTTTGGGTTGGTGAACATCCTAGTTTATTGGCAGCTATGAGTAAAATATGTATTATGGAAATTAAAAAAATTTATAATATACATGAAAAGAATCATAATAATGCTTACATAGGAATATGTAATTGACGAATTATGTAATATTACTCATACATTCTCTTTCAGATATGTCACTTTTCTTATCTTTCAGAAAACTGACACTTAAGAGGTCAAAATGTTCATGCAACTTTTAACAGTACCTCAAAGAAATGTTTCAGTTTTCAGTTAGCATTAAATCCTTTCCATTGTGGCTTAAGATCATAAACATTAAGAACACATTGTTGCTATTCAGCTGTGCACAACATTTTTATTTTTAAAAATAACATTATAATTTCATATGAAATTAATGTCATAAAATCCCTTTCACCGAAAAGCACAAAAAAGTGAATTCTTGAAAGATTATTTTACATACGCTTTTTAGTAATTTGCAATAAGTGTTATTTTATAGCCTTGTGTCATAAGTAAAAAATATGTTTCTAAGACCATATACTGTTATTGATTGCAAAATTTCTAACTTTACTCCTTTGCTGTATTATTACTTACAGTCAAAAGTCGTTAATCCGGACTCGTCGGGACTTCGGCGATTCCAGATTATCGAATTTTCCGGATCATAGATCTTCAGTTTAAATCTGGTAAGATGGCATGCAGAAATTATAAAATTAAAAATATGAAACCGTAATTTATGAAATAAAGAGCAATTATGATCTAAAGGGTATCAAAATTTACAAAAAAAAAAAAAAAAAAAAAAAAAACTTAATATTTATTTGTTTACTTTAATAAACATTTCTTTCAATGTAAGTTGTTAAGTTGCTTCGTTTTATGTGATAATACTTTCTCTTTAATTCTATAAACAGATGTAATTTCTTGTTCAGTTACAAAGTTCCGCTATTCAAGTCCTATAATTGCTGTGTCGAGAATACCAACTAATTTGTCAATTGAAATTTTTTCATTTTCAATAACCTCTGTGTCACTTTCTTCACTATCGGAAGCGAATTATAATGACGAGGAATTTGGTTTAAATCATATCAAAGACGGAGTGCATCGAGATGAAGTACTACATTTAGTAAGGAATTATAAGCCATATAAAATAAAAACATCTGCCCTGAAGATAAAGATAGTGCTGACAGATCAACTTCCAATTCATAATCGTGAGTTCAAGCTTACTTTTATAAAATTGCTCTAACAGTCTGCAAAAAATAATAAGCCAAATCCAATTCGAAGATTAAGGAACAACAAAATCTGCAACATTAACTGAATTAGATAATTTTAGCTTAGCTTATACCGTCCGTTATACATTAAATGCGCATGCGTAAACATATTATGTGCATGCACACATGCATATTCGCAGCCATAAAGGTCTTATGCACATGCGTAAACGCCTATGTGCTTGCGTCAACGCGACGCATGCGCAGAAAGTTTGTAGCTTTGAGGTCCGGATCATGGGTGTCCGAATTAACGACTTTTGACTGTATTTAACTTCTGTTATATTATTATTTAATTTTACTTCTGTTGTTATATTATTGCCTGTATCCAAAATAAAAATCAGATAATGGTGATGACATTTTTAGTAAACTCCAGCTTGCAATACTCTGTCTCTCTTTTTCCTTACTAATTTATTCAAAATGAGTTATTTCAAACAATCAATTACAATGCATAGTAATGTACATTTTGAATTGAATTTGTAATATGCATTTATTAATATTTTGCTATTTTTCTGTTTATACTAACTTGCATTACAAAAATGTTACAATACTGAAGCTTTTAAAATTGAATTTTTTAAAGTGAATTTTAATATTTAACAATAAAGGTCAACTTCCTGAGTTTGCAGTTGCTAATAGTATTTTAAGAAGAAAATGTAATAGTTGTATGATATTTTAATCTTTTTGAATTGAACAAGAATTTCTTTTTTCTTTAATAATAAACCTCTTTTTTAGATGTTAGATTATACACTGGTATTCAGACTGAATTTTCTTTTAATGTACATATTTACAACTTACCATTTTATACTAAAGTTGAAACTCTTGGATGCACTAGAATGCATATTTATTCACATGTTTGTTATGTAATTACAATTATGATTAACACTGTACTTCTTCCTATGGGATGAAAGCATCTTAATATAAGTTAGCTGCATAATTATATTGTAACTACATCTTTCTAATTTTCTCAATCTTTCTGGCATTGTTATGACTGTGTAAGACTGCTTTGGAACAAAAGAAGAATTATATTATTATTATTATTATTGTAATTAAATTATGAAACAGTGTTATTTAATTTTATTCAGTTAATGTTATGTTCTTCTTATGGATAAAAATGAAAGGCCAAATAAAATCAATAGAATTGTGAAACAAGTTAGCACTAAATTATTTTTAATGTCAGTTATTGAAAAATGTGTTTTATTTTTTCAATACTATTGATATTCCTGTCACTAACTAAAAAAATATTTTTGATGTATACTGAACTTTTAGAAACTTACATAGATTATTTCAATATATATATAAAAGCTATAGCCCTTGAATGAAATACATTTTCCAATAAACTAATAAATTTTCATGCCTTTCATTTGGATTTTGCCTGTGTACATGTTAATATGTTATACTGTATGATCTTATTTCCTATCTGTTTGCTATGCTGGTTCGCTGTGATACGTAAAATAATTTATCGTAGGTTTTGTGTGATATTTTTCTGCACTTGTTGCATCAGTACATGGAGAATTGAGGGTTCATTCTATGACTATTGATGGAGCTGTCACATGTTTTGCTCCATTCCATAGTGTAAATTATCTCAAGGGTCTTTTTGTATTTCTATAAATACGTAGGACTTTTTTAAAAAATTTTTAGATGTATATTTTTTTCCTGTGTAATTTGTTTCAATTATTGTTGATTGTAAAATAACGAAATTTTTGTGCTTAGATTTTCTCAAAAAAAAAAAAAAAAAAAAAAAAAAAAAGTAGATAATAAGAAACAAGAAAATATGAATAAAAATCTGTTTAGCAGAAATTTAATGTTGCAGACATATAATGGCAATGCTTAGAGAATAAATTTGAAAGTTTCATTAGAAAAACCCTATTTGTCCATTTTAACTGTTTACTGAATGAAGTAATGTTGTAGTTTGTTCTAAAATGTTTAAAATTGAGTGTTAATCTAGGATTAAATTGTTATATAAAGAAGGTTCATCCTATACTACCGAGAAAAAATGGATAAAATGATTTCACTTGGAGATCAATGTAAAGAATATGATTCTTCCGAGGTTTGATCATTAAATTTATTGACATCCGAAAATATTGTTTGTGCACAGGAGGAAATATTGAGTAATAAGAGATTAAAAGTGAGGGAGGTTCAAAATTGGATCCATCTTGGAGGGGGGAAAAAGATATGAGCTGAGCAGTTTACATGGAAGCATTCACATAAAAAAAAGTTTGTGCAACAGTGTTCTGTACCTCGATTTCTTTTGTCTGTTCCAAAACTGTAATGTGTCAGTGTAATTAAGAAACAGCAGTCTTGACTACATCTCTTTGAGCCTGGATTTAGCTACAAATGGTTATTATCTATTCTTTAAAATGAAACTTAAACTTCATGGAAAGAGTTTAATTCTCTAAGCAGTCAAAGATTTAACCCAAAACCCTAAAATTTCCTAAATACAAACATGCCATGAATAAATGGCATTTTCTTGATTATAATTTCAAAATGATCCTCCTCCTCTGTACTTTGAATTTGTTTCTTCCAAAATATAAAACTTAATTGTACAGTTTCAAGATGCCAGTCTGTGTGCTTAAAAGTCAGCTTTATAATTTAATTTCATAATAGCCTCTTAATTCCTCATTTTTAATTTGGGTATTTCTTCCCTGTATTCTAAAAATCGTAATAACTTTTGCGGACTGTGCAATTCGAGATCAAGGAATTGGAATTGTCTCCAGCGCACGAGACTTTGTATCGGAAATTCTAAAGATATGGTCATTTTAAAATTATTTTGTGATAATGCTGTTGAATTGAATTTTATGGTTTATTTGCAAAGAACATGATATTTAATAAATAAAGGTAACACACAAAACTTTATAAAAAAAGACCCTTTGGGCATAATATAAAATCTGAAAGCTTTCAAAAATTTTTTTTTATTTATTAGTAAATGTAACTTGAATATATTTTGCAAGTTAGGGCGAATTATATGTTTGCAGAAATATCTTGTACAATTTTGAGAATAGCAACTTTTAAGGATATTAATTTTTTTGGTGCAACAATGAAATAATATGGCTGTTCTAAAAATATTAAACACAAAGATAAATACATGAAGAAATGATAAATAAATCATAAGTATATCTATTAAATATTAACATATAAAACTGTGAAAGTGAAAAACACTTATAAACCTTTTACACATATTGTTAATTAATAAGAGAATAGATTTGATAAAAAAATTTTTAATCTTATGCTTGGTTGAATGATAATACACCTAAAAAATATTTTTATTTGGTCAGTGGGCATTGCATTTCTCTAAAATTCTTGAGTTTGTTTATAATTATTTATACATTTCATCTTACTAGATTTAAATTGATAATTTAAAATTTGAAAATTTTCAAAACCTAGAACTGCTGAAATCCAGATGATTCTGGATTTTGGTGTTTGTACTGCATTAAAATTAGAGTATCAGGCTAAAAAACTGTTGGATCTACTTAGTATGATGCACATTGTATCTTATGAATCTTGTACCTTCGTTAAAGTAATTGCATATGTCCATGCACTAATATTTCTTTCTAATATTATACATTGAAATGATTGATTCTGTATTTGCACACACCATTTCTTTCTTAACTCCCCCCTTTTTTTTTACTGCATGATTATGTATTTGAAACATCTACAAATAATCCTGATACTTCTTAATAATTATCGTTTTTGTATTTGGAGGAGCAGTTTGCAGTTCTGTGAAAGAAATTCTTGGACAGATTATGTTTCAAAGAGTTCCTTCTGTATTCTGGAATTTATGTATGTGTGTATGCAAATAGAGTTTCTTACATAAATCATTTAATTTTTCTAATAATTGACATTTTTATTTTAGGAAGAACTTTGAATATGTGTCCTCCTCACTCATTTCAATTCCGATGCCCCCTGGCCTGTTTGTAAAGTACCTCTGTGATATACTCTTCATTTCATCAGTTACGAAGCAAATTGGAAACAAAAGCAGAAACACCCAGAAATAAAGGCATAATGTATAATTACAAGTGACACGGAGAGCAGGAAACTTGTTTGATTTAATAAAGATGAAAAAGAATGTGAAACCATAGAAAGAAGTATGATTTTATTTTAAGTATTCTACATTATGCAATATACTAAACATTAAATTTGCTTATATTAAATTAATTATTTATATTTACTTACTTAATTATTACTTATTAATTTATAATTTAAACTTTATATTAAATTTAAGATTTTTATATTTATAGTACAATGATTTTATTTATAAGATGATATTTATTATTTAAATTTTAATACTTAACTAATGTTGCTTTAATTTAATAAATATTTTATGTTAGTTATTCAACACTGACCTTAATTTTCTTATATAGTTTCTTTCTTTCTTTTCCTTTATTCTAGTGGTATTTATGCATTAGCACTACTTTTTTTGTAGAAGAAAAAGAATGACGTATTTTTCTTCTGTATAGATGAAAAAAATATTAAATGTGTACATATTTTACATTTTTATTAAGTATTTACCCTGAAAAATCGATCAATGAAACTAATTACATGCAGGGTTTTGGTCCTTTTGTTCTGGTCAAAATTTCGTTCTTTCAGAAGCGTGAAAATTCATTACTTTGAGAAAAGATTCATAGCATTATTTCCTTTAGCTGAAAAAATCTGTGTTCCTGGATAAATTTTGTCATAATTTCTCAAGTTGCAGACAAATCCCGTAAACATACATTTTAAACTTGAGCTTGGATTAAAAAAAAAAAAAATTCGAGAGCTTTCAGATTTTGTATTATGCCCAAAAGGACTTTTTTTTAACTTTTTGTATGCTACCTTTATTTATTAAATATCATGTTCTTCATACTTAAACCACACAAAATTCATTTCAACAGCAGTACAGAACAAAGTCCAAAATCCGGACTTGTCGAGACTTCAGTGATTCGGGATTTTTTCAGATATTAGATCATCAATTTAAATCTAGTAAGATGGCAAGTAGAAATTATAAAATTAAAAATATGAAATCGTGATTTATGAAATAATCAAGTATTTATGATCTAAAAGGGTATCAAATTTACAAAAAAAAAAAAAAAAAAAAAAAAAGCTTAATATTTTATTGTTTACCTTATTAAAAATTTTTTTCAATGTAAGTTGTTTAAATTGCTTCGTTTTTTGTGATAATACTTTCTTTTTAATTCTGTAGACAGACATAATCTCTTGTTTAGTTACATTGTTGAAGTCTTGTAATTGCTGTTTCGGGAATTCCGACTAGCTTGTCAAATGAAATTTTTTCGTTTTCAGTAACAAACTTCTCTGTCTCTTTCTTCACTATCGGTAGCGGTATTTTTTAGATCTAGAGCCGTCATACTACAAATTTTGCCATCCATTATTTGATTGATAATTAAGGAGCATTGTCATCATAATGAAAAATTTCTTTTATATTATCTTCATTTATTACCTACCGCTTCTCCACGTTTTTTTACAAAATCCGTTAATTAGAAAATTTCACCTTTGTTTTGCAATATCCGAAAACCTTTAAAATTTGCAACTATCATCATCAAATTTAGCTACCGTTCCCTACACATATTGGCTATGCATCATGAGCTTGGCGACTAACGACAAGTTCTTCTGTTAAATTTTACCTTGCTTCTATTGCACAGAGACAATTAAGCCTGAATTGTATTAGTTATTTATTATACTTATGTCTATTTCTTGCACATGCTTAAGGCTTATCAGAATTCTGAATTAATAAATTCCCACATATACTTAAGCCTTATTGAGGGCTGGCACAAGTTGTCATATTTTGATAAACATGCAGTGATTAAAGGAAAGTATAATAAATAATGATTCGCCAGTTTGGCGTCAGATCAGCGATGTATCTATGTGAAATGTTTCGGTTTGAGATATGTGTCAAGCAGATACACGGCAAGGAGCCAACTTGCTGATCGTACAAATTTATGCTAAAATGATTGTTTCTTCAATAAAAAGGTATTTTATTTAGTGTCAAAGTGAAATTAATCGGGACTCTCCAGATGTTTTATTATGCGTGGAGAGGGAATCAAATGTGCTTGCATAAAGCTTACAAGAAAAAACGTTGTTGTTGGTTTTGAGGTCCGGATAATGGATGTCTGGATTTCAGACTTTGTACTGTATCACAAAATATTTAAAAACAGTCTATCTTTAGAATTCCGATACACAGCCTCGCGTGCTGGAGATAAAAAAAAAATTTGTTGCCATTATTCGCCTTGAAATTGTTGAGTTTGTTAATCAAAAATTTGTTAAAGTTTTACAAAATTTGAAATAGATAAAAAAATATATTCAAAATTTCAGGTTCTAAGTGCCCATGTTCCTTGGAGGACTATGTTATTCAAAATTGGATGGCTCTATGTACCATCATTTTTTCACAATGCGAGAAATATTCATGCAGATTCTTCATTATTTAATTTTTTTAAATATAATACATGAACAATATTTGGTGGCAACAGTCTGAAAACTGAATCAACACAGACTGTGAAATGACGCAAAATGCCGTTTTGAGACTAATACCCCTTTGGGTTTAATGCCCCTTTGGGATATAAAACATCACAGTTTGTCCATTAAAACTTGGAATATAATGAAGTGAATGCACACAAAAAATGGCAATCTTGTTTATTAGGAATTTTTATGTGCATGATTACCATCTTATTTTGAAACTTTGATGGTTTTTACTAAGGTGCGTATGTTATTACATAGTTATTTCTCTAGCATTATATTTATGCTAAATTTCATAGGGGCATTTTTCTGTTAAACTCCTACTATGAATTCTTAGTGCCATATTTCCTTCCCCCGCTCCATGCCTTTGCCTTGAATGCTACATGCTTTTGCTTTCTGCTAGTTTCATTCTTGAAACCTTTTCTGAAAATAGGAAATAGAAAGAAAAACAATAATAGTTATTTTTAATCAATGTGAATTTCATTATATTTTTTCATCAGCAGATACTTTTATGTGCATACATAATACCTTTTGCTTTTGGAGTTTTTTTTTTTTTTTTTTAAATCTTTTACTTTTTATTTTGGAAGTTAAAAACAGTAACTCAAAACAGATTCGAGTTTTCCTTTTATATTGGGATATGTTAATTGAAGTTCTTTAATTTCGTTTATTTGTTTTCACTCATATTATAATTATTTTACAACAATTACCATTTTTATTTCTTTGCTAGTATTTAATTATTTGTTTAATATGATATCTTGTTACTTAATATTGTCAAAATAAATATTCTAATTAAAAATCGGTTGTTTTTCAAACAGCAGCATTTGTTTAAATACTTAATATCATAATACGTTTGTCTCAAAACATTGTTGTAATCATTCATTAATACATTTGGGTTTGTTATATAAATTTATGGCTTTGATAAATTTAATTTGTTGTCCCCCCCAGGATCTTGCATTAAAAACAACATTGAATTTATTTTTTATTGGAAATAATATCTTGAGGCCAATGACTAATATATTATCATTACTATCATAATCATAATCGCAGTCGAATGTCATGTTTTTTTGTTAGTCCATAGTTAAGTTTGTATTTATTATATTGGTAGACTCTGAACAGCTTTTTAACCCAAAAAGGGGCTGTTAGTCTCAAAATGGCATTTTGCTTTGGTTCACTATAAATAATGTATCACTTTTCAAATTGTTGCCATCAGATATTATCAACATTTATTACTTTTAAAGAAATTAAATAATAAGGAATCTGCATGCAATATAAGTATGTTCCTCACATTGTGAAAAAACAATGGTATGTAGAGCCATCAAATTTTTAATAATGTAGTCTTGCACTTGAACATGTGCACCTGGAGGCTTGAATTTTGAATTTGTCTTATTATTTATTTCATGTTTTATAAAACTTTAATGAATTTTTGATTAACAAACTCAATGATTTGAAAGTGAGCACTAGCATCACTGTTTGAAATAAGCTATTATCCCCAGCATGTGAGGCTCTGGCCATTTGGAAAAATATATGCTAAATAGCTTTCAATTTTAATTAACAAACTGCAAATATGTGTTGCTGTGGCCAGAAATAATTTTTTTTTTTTAAATTTTTTTTTTATCTTCTGTGTGCCAGCACGTTGCCATCCAGTAAAGCCTAAGATACTTTCAAATTTAAATTGGAATGTTATTACTTAACTAAGGGATTTAAAAGCAATAAACACATTTTGTAATATTTTTTTCTGGTTTTCAATATGATTGATATAAATAAACTTGTATTAAAATTGTGAGATGTCTAATTAGAAACATTCAACATTTTAATGAAATTACACCAGCTGCATTCATTAAAATCATTATGTACATTTTGTTTTTTATGAAAACTGTTTTAGGCAGCCTGCTGTGTGAGCAGTTAGTTTTTAAAGAAATAATATAGCAAATATAAAAATATGCATGTAACACGCTATTGGGAATTCTAAACGATCTGTTGTTTTTAAAATATTTTGTCATTTTGCTGTGGAATTGAATTTTATGTGGTGTAAGTGAAAAGAATGTGTTATTTAATAAATAAAGTTAAGACATGAAAAGTTAATAATAAAAAGACCCCAAAAAATTATTAGCCATTTTACTAAAAAAAAAAAAAAAAAAAAAAAAAAAAAAAACTGAATATATTATGAACTGAGAAAAGACTGAAAAAATATTAAAATGTATGCCAACATTTAACACTTCATAGCTGTATTCACCAAATGGACATGCTATACAGCTTTTAAAAAATTACAATTTTATTGTTGAACTGTATGTAGTGTAAATGCAGCGAAAACAATACTTAGTAATAAAGCTAAAAGGAGTAAAAAAAAAACGAGAGAGAGAGTTAGTGGGAGTGGGTGCCATAACAAACTGGTAGAATATGAGCTCAGGGAGAGCATAAAAACCATAACAATTCCTTTAGGGTGACCGTTAAATCTGAAACCTTTCAGATTTTTTTTTCATTGCTATTACAGTACAAAGTTCGAGATCTAGACATCCGATATCCGGACTGACCCAAAATCTGGACCTCAAAACCGCCAACAATTTTTTTTTAATAAATGCTTTACGCATGTGCATTTGATTTTCCCCCCTGTAGGTAAAACATGTGGAAAGTCCCGATT